TTATAATGCTCCCTTACTCTATACAAAATAAATAAAAAATAAAGTTTGGGCTTCAGTTCTACTTTAGCACCTACCTTCCACCGTATTGTTTAGAATGATGCCTTAAAATGTAATTCAACAAATGGCCTCTGGGTGCCCCCTGTGCCCTCTAGTCTCTGTGTACCAAGCCAGGATGGCTAAGTACACAGAGTCCCTGTACAGAGCCAATCTAAGTAGCTCAGTACCATGTGATCAATGGGATGACTAATCACAGCGGTCACATGGTACTGTTTACACTGATGATCCCTCCCCTTCCTCTTACTACAGAGGAAGAGGAATTGTAGTAGTTTGTGAATGGGAGAATCAATGAATGAGTCAGCTGTAGCAGAGGGGTGGCCACAGCATCCTAGGTTGCTAAGAGCTATTACACAGATAGCAAGAATAACTTGCCACAAACTTGTGGCAGGGTTAAATTGTAATTATTTTTTACGTGCTGCACACATTCCTGGCAAGTTGTAGACTTGCAGAACACTTGCAGCACAAGTTCTAATTGACACTTTTTGATTTTGTAGCAAATTTGCTTGGCAAGTCTCTAGCAAGAGTCCTGCAGGTCTTAGCAAGAGCTCTGCAAGTGTACAACACTTTTACAAAGCACGCTGATCTGGAGACTTGCAATGCAGACTTTCTGTAATTGTGCAGCAATATTGTGAAGCTTGGCAAGTCTAGCAATAGTTTAGCAAGTCATATTCAAACTTGCAGCTCAATTGCTTGCTATCTGGGTAGCAACCTATGACGCTCTAACCTATCCAGCTCACAGGCGTCATCGGTTGCCAGGGAGCTGAGAGGCATACTCTGGCTGGCGCCCCGCTGAGCTCTTGGCAACCAGTGATGTCAGTGAACTGGGCGGGACTGGACTGAGAGCCACTGACAAGCACGGCTCTCTGTCTGTCCACATATCCACCCATCCCACTACTTCTAATGCCATGCCACAGGAACCCCCCCCCCCAAAAAAAAGCTCTATCAGCAGCAAGCGCCCCCCTCGATCTACAAGCTCAGGTGGCATACAGGGTAGGGACAGCCTTGCATACAATCTTCGCAAAACTAATTTTAGATTTACCACAACTATGTAATGTTAGCACCTACCTAATCTAACCAATCAATGTGTATACAATCAGGCGGGTCCTTGCACTACATAGTTTTTGGTAGATGTAAAGAGAATTGCACAATCAAGTTGTAATGTGTGTGGTGAGCGTATGGGTTAAAATTAAAATCCACGTGTCAGTAAGTGAAAGCAGTTGCATTTCGAATTTAAAAAAAAAACATATTTTAAATAGATATATAGATATATCTAAATATCTCGAGGGGTGTGTAACTCCAGCTCTCCAGCTGTTGTGGAACTACAAGTCCCATGAGGCATTGCAATACTGACAGCTACAAACATAATTCTCAGAGGCAGAGGCATGCTGGGATTTTTAGTCAAAGCACAGCTGGAAGGCCAGAGTTGCCCATCCCTTGTATACAGCTTTTATGGGCCACACCATAAATAGTATAGTATAGTATAGTGAGTCAGATCCTGGAGTCACAAACTTTGCACCAGCACCGTATTCTTGAGAGTGAAGGTTCCTGGTACTATTCCCACTGGCGATCAAACCTATACCAAAGTTTGCGTGAGGACAGATATTTTTTAAAAGGTTATTCTTCAGATTGCAGAAGTTATATTGGCTACTAGCATCCCCTCCAGTGTAAGTTCAAATAGCTCGACGTGTTCCAAACAATTCCATCTCCGATTAGAAAATAAGCACTTCTCTATGAGAGGCTCTTCCGCCTTCTCTTTCTTCTCATCTCCTCCCTTCGTTTTGTGGAGCTCTTACAGAAGATTAATAGGACTCGGCACTCTAGCAGAATATTATAGTGTATTTATGAAAAACACTTGTCCTACATACATCAAATAGCCCATTAGTTACATAGCACTTTACACAAAAAAAAAAAATCTGAAATGAATAGAATCAGAGCTGCTGCCAATAAAACCCAATTAGATGTTAAGCAAAGCTATACTGAAATGTATGTTAACAACCTTACTGGCATGGATAAGGAGTAATCAAAGGGCACTACTACCTACCTTTCCTGGAGAAATTGCTACTGCAGGCTCCCTTCTCTGCAGCTCACATGACAGAAGCCTAGGCATTAGCCAATCTGCAGAGATCACATGGCCAAACAATGTCCACTGTAAAGGGAAATCCCAATTCACTCCCTCCAAATGCAATGGTAAAATGGCATGGCAAAGGGACACGGAGAGGAGTCATTATCCTTCCTGTGGCTTTGACTAAACCAGCATTTCTCAATCTTTTTTCAGCCACGGCATCCTTTGACAATATGTAAAATCTTGAGGCATCCCAGTCTAAAATGTCAAAAACGTAAATGTAAAAATGTAAATGGCCCCTCAAATTTATACTAGACCCTTATTCCAGATAGGGGTCTGATATGGATTTTAATGCACAAAAAAAGGAGTCCCCCCATCAAATCTGGAGCTCCCCCTTCACATCAGGAGCCCCCTCCTTTCACATCAAAGATCCCCTTCTCACACTTGGAGCCCCCTTCACATCAGAGCTCCCCCAATTTCACATCAGGGCCCTCTTTTACATCAGAAGACCCATTATCATTTGGATTCTCCCTCACATCAGTGTCCCCCCTTATAATCAGGAGCCCTCCTTTCACATTAGAATCCTGCCTTTCACAGCAGAGTCCCCCTTTACATCAGGTGCTCCCCTTTC